AGGAAAGGAAAGGAAAGGAAAGGAAAGGAAAGGAAAGGAAAGGAAAGAAGGAAAGGAAAGGATAGGAAAAGAAAGGAACAGGAACAGGAACAGGAAAAGGAAAAGGAAAAGGAAAAGGAAAAGGAAATGAAAGGAGGAAATTGGAGGGAGGGAGGAAGGAAGGGAGGAAAGAATTCCACTGGTTGGGGAATTCCATTAGTTGAAGAAACACATCTAAAAAATGGACAAGTTTGAAAAACACCCATTTAATACAATGGGTAAACCTCGCCACGTGTGGTTTATTTAATAAACTGTGGTTTATTAAACTGTGGTTCCAAGTCAGAAGATGTCAGAACTGTTGTCCTCCCACGGTGTGCTAAGCTGTCACTTCTTGGAACCAGAGTTGGCTTTAAAGAAGCCCCCACTGGCTGTCTCGGTGCTTTGGAAGAATGCCTCGAGTTCCAACCACTTCTGAAACCTCACCCTGGCCAGGGCCCTTCTCAGGCTCTTGTCTCTGCCAAAAGGCATCTCTCATGCTCTCCTTGCAGGGAAGGCGAAGGTCTACCAAGGCGTCCGAGTGAAGATGACCGTGAAGGAACTTCTGCAGCAGAGAAGAGCCAAACAGGCCCCGGTGGCAGAAGCTGTAAGCATCTCCTTTGAATCTCTTCTCAAGCTTAGCTATGAAATGAGCCCTTCTCAGTAGATCAACTATGGGCTTCTGGTTGCATTTTCAGTGTCATCGTCAACATGAGCACAGATGATGTTACCTAGCTGGGTCATGAAATGTCTGCAAGAAAATAACCAAGCTCAGAGAGTAACCAAGACCCCACAGTAATCTTCCTCCTCTTCCTCCCTGCAAACCCCGACTCCCTTCTAGCACTGATGATGTTCGCTAGTTGGGTCATAAAACATCTGTAAGGAAACCACCAAGCTCCCAACCAACCAAGGACCCCACTGTCTTCCTCTTCTTCCTCCTCCTCCTCCTCCTCCTCCTCCTCCTCCTCCTCCTCCTCCTCCTCCTCGTCCTCCTCCTCCTCCTCCTCCTCCTCCTCCTCCTCCTCCTCCTCCTCCTCTTCCTCCTCCTTTCTACAAATCCCACTCCCTTCTAGCACTGACGATGTTACCCAGTTGGGTCATGAAACATCTACAAGAAAATAACCAAATTCAGAAAGCACCAAGGACTTTACATTCCCCCTATTCCTTTTTTTCTCCTTCTCCTCCACTCTGCAACCCCCCTTCCCTTCTTACACTGATGATGCTATGTAGTTAGGTCATGAAACGTCTGCAAGGAAACCACCAAGGTCAGGGAGCAACAAGGACCCCACAGCAACCCTGAGCTACAAAGATTCTCTTTTATTAATAGATTAGATGTTCTCCTACTAGGCATCCAATAAATTCTTTGGTTATTGTCAAAAAAAGTGTCATTTCCCTCCATTGTTTCTTCAGCTTTCAGCCAACAGAACCCTCCATGCTTCACAAAGCCCCCTCTTAACAAACTCCAGCTTTCCTAGGGACCTCAAATGTTCTTCCTTGGCTTTCTTTCAATTCTCACACAACTTGATGAACAAGAATTCACTCCTGACCCTCACTTAAAAGAGAGAACAGAACACTGGAAAAGTTCTCCCGGGTGGATCTGGCCAAGAAGAGGTTGCAGATGGCCATTTATTTCTCCTGCAACCTGCAACCTTACCACGGCTTTCCATGGATCTAGTTAAACCCCCCCCCCAGGGAAGATCTCAGGAGGACCTGCCTTCTGTTCCTCAGTGCTACTCTCATTGCCAATGGGGAAAGTAATCCAGTCCTTGCTCACAACTGCAGCATTTGTTCTCCTGCCAGATAAACCTCGGGTTACATTTCTTTTCTTTTGTTTGTCTTCTCACCTGGAGGAGTATTTCAAAAGGTCCTTTGAAAACCAAGGGTTGTTTCAATTCTTCCGAAGCCAGCCAGCGTGGGTGTGAACCTTCCCTTCCTTTCCTGTCCTCTGGATTGGCCACCACGGTGGGTGGGTTGCCTCGGGAAGGAAGGTGGGGATGGAATTCACCCTTTGGAGGGTTTCTCTTGGTTCTATCCTAACCCTTCGTGACTGAAGTGTGCCGCACGGATCCCAGCCCATTTGGTAAACTGAACCTCCCAGGATTCCTGGTTGAGTGCAATGTGAAACGTTTGGCTGCCAAACGTAGGGGGAAAAAAATCAGCTGGTGTGAAAGGCAGGGCAAACCTGGAGGAAAGAATAAAATAGAGAAAAGTCACCAGGGCATCAAAATCCTTTGAGGGCCATAGCCTTCATTGTAACAAACCAGTTTGTTCCTGTTCCTTGTTCCAGGAAAAATAAATTGTTCCTGTTCTCCCACGAAAAGCACATCAGAGAGGAGTAAAGAGGTCTCTACTCCAATGTTTCTCAGTGTGGGCAACTTTAAGACGTGTGGACTTCAACTCCCAGAATTCCCAAAATGGCTGGCTGGGGAATTCTGGGAGTTGAAGTCTATACTCCTTAAAGGGGCCATGTTTGAAAAACTCTGATCTAGTGCAATCTCTGGCCAGGACAATAATTCTGTTTCCTCCAGTATCTTCCCCAGCTGCTCACCATCTTGGCGGATGTTTCCTTCGGCACATCTCCTTTGACCTTAGACTTCAACTTTGGCAGGACAGGAGCTGAAAAGCAAAAGCGGAACATTCTGGTGAGGTGGCCCTGCAAACATTTCAAGAGAAATTTCTACAGGTGCAACAGAAACGTTTTACTCCCGTTTTTTGAAAATGACGGTACTCCCTCTGGGTTTCCTGAGCACAAGGCTCTTGCATTTGATTCCAATCTTTCTGGAGTTTATAACCTCACATTGCATCTCACATAAGAGAAGCTACTAACAAAATGAGCAAGCAGAAGAGGATGGTCAGTTCTAAAGACTCCACCTGCTAATAAGAAATCTTGCCCTGATGTGATTCACTTATACATTAGTGTTTTTCTCCTCTTTTCCTTCCCTGTCCTGTCCTTTCCCTTCCCTTCTTCTCTATTTCCTTTTCTCCATCCTTCCTTTCCTTTCCTTCTTCTTTCCTTTCCTTTTCCTTCCCTTTCCTTCTTCTTTATTTCCTTTCCTCCTTTTCTCCTTCCTTCCTTCCTTCCTTCCTTCCTTCCTTCCTGTTTTTCACAAACTGCCCATTCAGGATGCAGATTTTTTTTTTTTACACAGTGGACAATCCATTAGATTTAAAGGTTGCTGAGCCTTGGGACAGCAGGCATCCTTAAATTATATTTAGCCAAGGAATAACATGGAGGAAGAGTCCCCAGATTAAATACACCCAAGGAAGGAGCTACTCTCCTTCATTGCCTTGCAGCATCTCAACATTTTCTCCATTTTGGAGAGAAATCCTGGACTTACCTGTGCCGTGTAAGGAAGGGGATTAGGACAGCGAATCCTTCTCTGTTTCATTATTGGAGAGAAACATTGCTTGGTTCCTTTTTATTCTCAGGTTTTTGGAGAATGCAGTAGAAACGTCCAGGCTGGTGAAGCTTTTTCGCCTCTCTGCACAGGTTGGTACAAAACAGCTCCCCTCTTCTCCTCTCCCCAGCAACCCCCCCCCCCAAAAAAAAGTACACACAAACACTCCATCCGAGCTTTTGATGCCTATTCCTATCCGTTTTCTTCTTGAATCTTGACTTACGGCTGGGCATGGGCATTTAATTGTGAAAATGGCCAATCCGCATTGGGCAGGAGCTTGCTAAATGCAGATGAGCATCCAGGCTGGGTGGAGAAGGTTGGTGGGAGCTCACCAACTTAAAAGAGAGAGAGAGAGAGAGAGAGAGAGAGAGAGAGAGAGAGAGAGAGAGAGAGAGAGATTCCACCTGGGTTTGTTCTTTCTGGAGTGGATTCAAAGCCACCCGCTGCGTTCATTCCCTTTTCCTCTTCTTGCTAAGCTAACTTATTTTGGGGTGGGTTTGTTTGCAACCAGTCATGCTTGCTTTTTTGTTTTTCCCTCCTGCAGCTGTTCTTCTCTCTCTTTCGTCCAGAAATCCCAACAAGAAATCCATCTTTTTATATCTCCTATCTGTTCCTTCCGGGCCAACAAAATGCTCCAGGGTGTAATGGGGTTTTAGATATGCAGGCATTTTTCTCCCAATTCTTGTGTGCTAGCAAAGGACGAGGAAACCGTGAGAAATTGAAACTGGGCAGTTGAGTTAAGAAGCGTAAAATCCAAAGAGCAAACGCTGAGCTCTTTAGAGGAATTCGGCAGAAGGGGGCTATCAATTCTCTTAAGCAGAGAAAGATAGAAATAAGAAGGGGGGGGAAATGTAGCTTGGGGCAGCAGATCCTCATTGGATTTGGGATTTTCAAGCCCTGCTTCTGTGCCTTTTGGCATCCTGAAAAAAAATATTTTGTCAGGCATACAAGGTAGCTTGTCCTCAACTTATAACCATTTCCTTTAGTGACCGGCACTGAAAAACGTGACATGACCATTTTTTCACACCTATAACTGTTGCAGCCTCCCCATAGCCATGAGATCCAAATTTGAATGCTTGGCAACTGACTCCTATTTATGACAGTTGTCGTGTCACCCAAGCCAAATCAATAGAGGAAGCCAGATTCACTTAACAACCGGGTTGCTAACTTAACAAGTGCAATGATTCACATAGCAACCGTGGCAAGACATGGGGGCGAAGCTCACTGAACCAATGTCTCACTTAGTAACAGAAATTTGGGGTGCCCATTTGTGGTGGTAAGTCAAGGACTGCCTGTAGTTTTAATGCACATTTTTTGCTAGGCCAAAGTTTTCCCGGATATTTGTTATTTGCCAGGCTAAAGTCTCTCTGCCAACATCTATTTCACAGCCAAGCTGAGTTCTCTCACCTTGTTTCCTTTTCTTAGTTCCTTACATCGATACGGCACCTGAATCTTCCTTATCTAGCTGTTTACAACAACCTTGGCAGTTCCAGAGCGGGACCTCCTGCGAGGAAATTCCCAATTATTTGGAGCAGCTGGTGGATTCTTGCCTTCAAGCTGAGCCACCTCTGGAGATGCCCTTGACCTTGGCACAGGACAACCTGCCCTGCTCACCTGAGAGCTTCCAGCCAGCCCCCACCTGCCTGGTACGTGAGTTTCTGTATCTACAGATGGGGAGGAGGGAGGTTCCCAAATCTATATTGCCCGGTCCCTAGAAGAAAACATTTGCTTTGGGGCAAGAGAAGAGCTGCAGGTGGCTAAAAGTGTGAAACAGCGGGGGAAGAATTGGTGCAGTTGAGAGAATCTTTAGCAGCTGGAAGGCAATGCCTTGGCCAATAGAAAGCAAAACCATCCATTTAAGGGTTTCTCTGTTTTATTTTCACAAACCTGTCCGCTTTTTGCAAACCTGAAGATGATGTACAATCTTGGAACTCAGATTGTGCTCTCTTGCTTTAGCTCAGGGGTGCCCAACCTTGGCAACTTGAAGACCAATGGACTTCAACTCCAGCCACCCATGCTGGCTGGGGAATTTTGGGAGTTGACGTCCACAAGTTGCCATGGTTGGGTGCCTCTGCTTTAGCTGATCGGCACTACTTGGTGAACTCTTACTGGGGAGTTAAGCCCTATTGGACCCGGCTTACTTCTGAACATCCTGTGAATTCAGAATGAAATTTGCACCCCGAAGAGTGAGCACTTCATCTTTTTTTTCTTCTTTTAGGGTTCTGGATCCCCGGAGGCTGTTGACCCTTCCAGCTCCTTCGATTACAGCTATTCCCCATCTCAAATGCCTCCTTGCGCCCCGCTTGGCTACAGCTGCCCAACTCTGGATGGCAGGAGTTGCATGTATCCGTCCCTGGAGGAACGTACCTGCCAGCCACACAACCACATGCCACACACTTCCGGCCTATCGACCTGCTACTGCACCCCGTGTGGTTCCCAGCACTTGGACACATTTCGAGCCCCTGAATACTTTCCCTACGCCACCCTGGACTGCAAAGACTATGCCCCTTCGGTCTCAGTGGCAGACGACTTCTGGAAGGATAGGAGTTGGGATCTGTGCTACAGTTAGTCTAGCAACGGCCATTCCCTCTGGTGAAGGCAGGAGTGCTGTGGACTCAGGTCCCTGTTTTGGGTTTGCCAAGCACTCCAAATGACACCTTTTCTCAGGTCAACCAACAAGGAGAAGGCAGGATGCAAGCTTTAAGGCAGAAGTCTCCATCCTTTGGCACCTTTTGAAGACTTCTGGACTCCAACTCCCAGAATTCCCCAGCCAGCCATGGGAATTGAAGTCCACAAATCTTCCAGCTGCTAAAGGTTGAACAACCCTCCTTTAGAGGTTTCAGGAATTCAACAATGGGTTGAGTAGAAAAAGAGGAAATCCTTCTCAAGGATGATTTGGGCTAAAACAATCTGTCTCCGCTAAGATCTGTCACAAAATAATCCAAATTTTGCACCAAAAGAACAGTGGCGGGATTCAAAAAATTGTACTGCCGGTTCTGTGGGCGTGGCTTGGTGGGCATGGCAGGGGAAGTTTACTGCAAAATCCCCATTCCCTCCCCACCCCACTAACCTGCTTTCCAGCTCCATTCTCCTATGCAGGGCAACCAAAGGAGACCCAGCCAATCAGCTGGGACTTGGGAGGTGGGGAATAGATGGGGGTGGGGCCAATCAGAGGTGGGATTTGCCGGTTCTCCAAACTACTTAAAATTTCCTCTACCGGTTCTCCAGAACTGGTCAGAACCAGCTGAATAGAACCTCTGCAAGAGAAGTGTATTTCTGCAACCCACTTGGGTGTGTTTGCAAATTGCCTCTTATTTTGTATAATTTGTGATGCTCTGCATTCCAAATCCCGAACTTCCAGTATCATCTTATTCGACAATTTTGTCCATTCTAGCATTTGCCATGCCATCAGCACGCCATGCCTCCAAGGGCTAAGAACGCACTTAAAAAAAAAACAATTAGTAAATCAATTAAGGTGATTTTATCCTCTAGGATTAACAGCCGCAAGATTTCAGAGTGTCAAACAACAAGGGGCTTAACATTTACCCACAAAAAGACATTTCCCTGGTGGACTATTTGTACGTTTAAAATTTGCCAGCCCAGAAAATGTCATTGCCTCCCCATTGAAGAATTCTGTGAGATCTGGAAGCTTGCATACCTCAATTAGCAAAATGCTTGATAAATGACTTGATCACTCTCATAAAAGTGATGTGTGTATCTTTGCACTCTGATCAAATATGTACGTTTATTTTTCCAGCGAACTGATAAGTATATAAGTTGAATTCATCTTAGGGTTGTTTTTTTTCCTGTTGTGTTTCCTTAAGGAAGCAAACAAACTTTTAAACCACTTGCTGATGTTTCTTCTTCCAACCAATCAATGTGTAATGTTTTAAGATTCCATTAAATGAAGGCCAAGTGGTCAGCGGGGCGGGAAAGACGTGTGTGTTTTCTCTGACCTGTTTTCCCTTTTTTAAAAAATGACTTTTCCTTCTTTCTGAGTTCCATTTGTAACTTTATGATTTACTATGAATAAACTTCCCTATTGCTATTAAAACTTTCAATAAAAATAGGTTTTTTAAAAAAGAAGAACTCTAAAATGGCACTTTGAAATAATAATAATGAGGAGGAGGAGGAGGAGGAGGAGGAGGAGGAGGAGGAAAGAAATCCTCATAGTCATGGTGAAGGATCAGCATGTTCTGACCCAGGCTTTGTTCAAATCAAGGAAACGTGTGTAAAAGCAAACCTTTTTTTAATGTGATGCTGGGAATTATTTGCATTCCCAGCCAAAACCCATTAAACACAATTGTCTGAGATAAGAGCACGCCTTTCAGGGTTGTAAAAGGCTGCCAAGAAACAGATGTCCACTGAATTAGAAGATAAACTGACAGAAGTTCCAGCAAAGACAAACCAGAGTTTGCAGAGCTTCGATGTGGAATCAGAATCTAATGAACTTCTTTGCTTCCTGCAAAGAACACATCACCAAGGGCTGGCTTTCATCCCTTATGGGAGAGGCAATCACCTCCCAGCCTTACTCCCGAGTTGCCCCTGCTGCTTCAGCTGCTCTCTCCTTCTAGCAGCCCTGCGCACACACACACACTGGGAACAGGGTCCCCGGGACTCTCTGCTTCGCTGCTGCCAGACTCCGAACGCTCCAAAGGCAGCACCCCACTCCCAGATGGTCCTGGCCCCATCCCTGCATCACATGCAGGACCTCCGTCCAAGTCCTTGCCAGACTCCCTGACTGGTTCCCTTTCGTCCTCACTGTCCGATACCTCTGCCGTCCACCCCGGCTGTCGGCGAACCACAACACAGCATCACTGTGATTTTATGACAGTGCAAGATGATATGATGTAGAACAACAATGGTTGCTTCATTTTATCACTTTTATTCCTTCTGCTGCATTGAAAGACAAAGCAAACTTCTGACATGCATTTCGGTGCCAGCATCTATTCCAGGGGTCCCAAACTTGGCAACTTTAAGACTTTTGGACTTCAACTCCCAGAATTCTCCAGCCAGCAAAGCTGAATTGAAGTCCACAAGTCTTAAAGTTGCCAAGTTTAGAGACCGCTGATCTATTCTGACATGTCTTGGGAGAGCAGGAGGGAAATAATATATTTTATTTCCCAGTGGTTTTTGTTTGTTTGTTTGTTTGTAAAACAGCATCTGCAAAACAGTGACTCTTAGTGCAGATTGGACAAAGATTGCAGTTTTGTTCCAGCTCTACAATAAGAGCTTTTAAAATCTCCCTCCCCACACCCACACCCCGCATTGGTACCATCTCTGTTGGCCCTGCCAAGGTCCTCCTTCACTGAGCCGGCTTTGCCAGCCAGAAACCAAAGGGCATTATGCCAAAGAGGTGGTCACAATGTGTGTAGGATGTCCTGAGCCCTGACAAAAAAATAATTTCAAAAGTCTGGTGAAGCATCTTCACTCTGTTGCTTCTTTATTCCCACAGAGACCAGCCCAGCCAAGCAAGTCACAAATATTTCTGAACCAAAACTAATTTCACAGCCAGGAACTTAGGTTGTATGTAGGGGGAGGCAGGAGAAAAAAAAATTTTTTTTTGTTTTTTTGTCACCAATTTGGGCTAGTCCACAACTGGCCACATTCCCTTCTCCATTCCCGCAATCTGTTTAACCTGATTCCTGACCCATTGGAGTTGAAACTAACCAAGTTTAACATTGCCCCTTCACACAACCATACTCAGTTTGCCAAATTAGTTTGTGCAACAAAATGAAAGCAATCACATAGAATGGAGTGGAGTGGAGTGGAGTGGAGTGGAGTGGAGTGGAGTGGAATAGAATAGAATAGAATAGAATAGAATAGAATAGAATAGAATAGAATAGAATAGAATAGAATAGAATAGAATAGAATAGAATAGAATTCTTTATTGACCAAGTGTGATTGGACACACAAGGAATTTGTCTTTGGTGCATATGCTCCCAGCCTCTGTGATTTGTAAGCCAGGGTTTAATGTTCAAACATAAGGCAGATTGTTGTGGTTTCGAATTGTAAACCATGATTCAACAAAGCAGCATATGGGAAACACCTCTTGTATATCAGACAGACATAGGGTGAAGGCACTATAGCAGCCCCTGGATGAAGTGACTGACCAAGGCACACTTTCTCAGCTTTGACAACCATGGATCAAGGAGTAATGGAGGGAAAGTAACCAAGGAGAGATCCAACCTAGAACTAAGGAGAAATTTCCTGAAAATTGGAGCAATTAATCAGTGGAATGACCTGCCTCTAGAAGCTGTGGGTGCTTCATCACTGGAAGTTTTTAAGAAGAAACTGGACAACCATTTGTCTGAAATGGTTTCCTGCCTGTGCAGGAGGCTGGACTAGAAGACCTCCAAGGTCCCTTCCAACTCTGCTATTCTGTATGCTGGTTGGGGAATGCAAAATACATACAGAATACAGCATACAGATATAGAATAAGAGAGTTGGAAGGGACCTTGGAGGTCTAATAGTCCAACCCCCTGATCAGGCAAGAAATCTGATATCTATATATCTATATCTATATATCCATATCTATCTATCTATCTATCTATCTATCTATCTATCTATCTATCTATCTATCTATCATCTATCTATCTATATCTATCTATCTATCTATCTATCTATCTATCTATCTATCTATCTATCTATCTATCTATCTATCTATCTATCTATATCTATATCTATCTATATCTATCTATCTATCTATCTATCTATCTATATCTATCTATATCTATCTATCTATCTATCTATCTATCATCTATCTATCTATCTATCTATATCTATCTATATCTATCTATCTATCTATCTATCTATCTATCTATCTATCTATCTATCTATCTATCATCTATCTATCTATCTATCTATCTATCTATCTATCTACCTACCTACCTACCTACCTACCTATCTAACTCTATACCCTATATATATTGATAGCAACCAAGGTAATATTCAACTGTGTTAATGAGGGAAAGAGGCATTAATTGCCTTTTTGTTTAAATAATCCCCTTCTCCCTAATAAGGGTGTTTGCTCCCCAAGGGAGCAGCTGGGGGCCAGCCCCTCTTCCCTCTCCATCTGGCAGTCCCAGGTGTTGGGCCACCAGCAACTCACCTCGGTCCCCGGCTGCTGTCCTAAAGGCCACACCTTAACAGACAGGTAATCTTTATGAGCCTTTTCTTGGCCTGCACCCAGCCCCAGTCTGACTCCTACTTCAGAGCCGGTGAAAGACTTGTAAAGCCCCAAATTCCATCAGTAATGCAGTGATGTCATATTGGGGGTTACCAATATGGAGAAGGTCCTTCCTGGCTATAGAAAAGGTTGACCTCTACAATGGCTCCTCCTGTCCCCTGATTGTAAAGCTTAGGTCACCCTTCCACCTTTGGTGAGTACATTCAGGATGGCAGAAACCTACCAAGAACATCAGCGGGTAACCAATGAAAGCTCCCCACAATAGCGATCGGCGATATTGTTAAAATTGAGGAACCTCTGGTGCACCATAACTTCTTCGGCCAGTCACGACCACCTGGCTCCCAACAGGGTCTCATGTATCCTTTTGTTTTGCTTCCAAACTCTTCCATCTCAACTTTCCTGTTTCCCTTGACCCTTGAATTTGAACAGATCTGGATGGAGAAGGATAGGACCTCAGCTGTTTTCATTTTTAATAAATATAGCCTTGAATTTGTAGTCCTTGGAGTCGCAGGTCTCTAGACCGGGGTCTGATGTCCATTCCACATTGTATCTTGAAGGCCATGAAAGTAAAATTGTGAAGCATTTGTGAAATGAAAAGGTTTGCTCCTTTCATCTCCAGCTAGCCTGCCCAGCAACATGTGTGCCATAACTTTCATGGGAGTCCATCTTTGTGGAGATTTGGTTCCTGGTTTGCAAACTCCATTAAGAAGCTTATTCCAGTATTTGTTTAAAGGTGATGTATTCCAGTATTTGAGGGGCTGCCAAAAGAGGAGGCGGTCAACTTATTTACCAAAGCAGCAAAGGGCAGGACAAGAAACAATGGATGGACACTAACCAAGGAGAGAAGCAACCTGGAATCAGGGAGAAACTTCCGAACAGTGAGGACAATTAAACAGTGGGACAGAAGTTGCCTTCAGAAGTTGTGGGTGCTCCATCACTGGAGAAGAGACTGGAGAGCCATTTGTCTCAAATGATATTCTGTTTGAGCAGGGGGTTGGACTAGAAGACCTCCAAGGTCCCTTCCAGTTCTATTGTGATTGAGACTGGGGAGAGAATACCAAGGGTCAACCAGCCCCCATCTGTGTCACGGGGGACACAGCTCATTGCAGGCCTCCTGGTCATCCTTTCTGGTGCCTGCAGAACAAAAAATGCCCAAGGGTATACTCTGAAGGTCAACTATGGCTTCAGAAATGACCCCAATCCTTCTGTTTGAAAGGGGAAAGCAAAAAGATGCATCTTCCTTGTAGGGGAATGAGTGTTGCAGAGCCTCCAGACGAGACAAAAACGCAATTTTCAGGTGATTCTATCAGTGCAAACAGAAAGCCAGGAAGATAATCAGAAGCAGCGGCAGACAGATGCGTTTTAACAGATGAGTGATAACCCCATGCATCGGCTTCAGAAAAATAACTCGAAAAATGTGTGTGCGTGAGAGACAGAAGAAAAAAAAATCTCTGGAGGGAATGATGTATACCTGCCAGCCTGGATATTAAGCAAGGTCTGGGGTAGCTACACAGATTCCTGAGACCTCGAGGTCAACCTTTAGCTGCAAATGTCAACGGGCAGATTTGCAAGACAAACTTGTCCAAAAATGAAGAAATCCTTGCCCACGGGAGATTTCGTTTCTATCTTTATAAGTTTATCTCTTGCGAAATGTGGCTTTAGGTGAAGAGAACCTGTAAGGGTATTTCTCCCCCCCCCCCCCAAAAAAAAATATTTTGCTTTCCCAAGTCACTTCTCTCCCACTTAAAACCACTGGAAGTTTTGAGTTCAGTGGAATACAGTAAATATTTACACACTTTTAACTCCAGTGATTTTTTTTTAAAAAAAATTGCTCTGATTAACGCTGATATTTACCCAGGAGTTAAAGGCAAGACTGTTGGCTTATCTTCAACAGGAATTATTTGCAAAAATGTGAAAGCCTGCAAATCTTTAAAAACCATGGCCAGTATCACGGTTGAACCCCTGGATAGGTTAGCTGACCTACAATGGTAGGTGGTAGTAGTTGACCCTTGCTAACTTCTCTAGGAAATACTCTTTTACTACAGGTAGTCCTTGACTTACAATCACAACTGGGACCACAACTTCTATTGCAAAGCAAGGCAGTGGTTCAATGGCACCCAGTTTTGCAAACTTTTTTTTTTTGCTGTGGTTGTTCAACCCATCATAGAAACAAACTTCTTTAAATTCCACTGATTAATTGTGCTAACTGTCAGGAAATTTCTCCGTAGTTCAAGTTCTCCTTGATTCGTTCCCATCCGTTGCTTCTTCTTCCTGCCTTCAGGTGCTTTGAAGAATAGGTTGACCTTTGGGGAACCCCCTCAGATATTGGAACACTGCTATCATGTCACCCCAAGTCCTTGTTTTCATCAAACTAGACCGATTCCTGCACCCGTTCTTCATATATTTTAGCCTCCTCCAGCCCCCTAATCAACTCTTCTCTTGAACAGGATTATGGGAAGGGAAGGGCTGCTGGGGGCTCGCAGGTGTTCAGGAGCTAAGATTCTGTGCAGTTTGGAGAACCCCCAAATCCCACTCCTGGCTGGGCCCGCCCACCCTGCCCCTCCCCTCCCAGGAGTCTCCATATGGCCAGTTTGGGATGCAGGTATGTGCAGGGTGCGCACGGAGGCTCAGCGAGGGTGAAAAACGGGCCTCCCGGAAGTTCGGGAAGGACGGAAATGGGCCCGTTTCCGGCTTCCAAAGAGCCTCCGGAGCCCGGGGAGGGCAAAAATGGCACCCCTCCCCGTTGTGGTGCAGGAGGCTGTCTAGGCCACGCCCACCATGCAACCAGGCAGAAAGCCCTTTGCTAACGTTTTGGAAGCCCACCCCTGCTTACAGGTGCCCAGCCACATGGGTTCAGTCGGATCCGGTTCTGCAGGAGGGCTCCAACGGTTGCAAGTCCACACCTCCAACATCGTGTTTCTTTCTCTGACAAATGACAAATCAGGTCTTCCTTTCCCGCCACTCAAACTCTCCCTGCAATCAAAGCGCCAATTGTGTGTGCCTGGGCAGAAATCCAAGCCCTTTTGCCTCCCCCCCCCCCCCAAAAAAAGTGAGGGGGTGGGAAGGATCTTAAGCCTTTCTTTTCTTCACGATTTCTCCTCTGGTTGGCTCTGGGCTCCTGCAAACACAGCTCCTACCCAGACTGTCGCATTGTACACACAATTTTTTTAAAAAAAGGAAGAGAATGAATGCTTGGAATGTCAACAGGCTTTTCGGAAATGAAGCAATCGCCTTGGCCAATGTTTTGCTGAAAGCGTCTCTTTCTTCGGCAGCATTCGGCTTGGTGAGGGCCTCTTTGGAGTTGGGTGATAGTTCTTATCAGCAAGCCCATATCTCAACCCCCCACCTTCCAGCTGCCACCAAGATTGGGCTTGTCCGCCTGGACGTATGGAGCCAGAAATGCTAATCTAGTACTTGGGGGTGGGGGAGGAGGGGGAAGATTGGAAAAGATTGCATGAAATGGACACCTGGCCTGGCCAGAGAAAGAGAGCAGAGCTGAGTAGAGAGTTGCTAGACGAAGCTTGCAAGCTTCTGGGCAGCTAGTAGCTTTGGCAGCCAAGACCAGGCATTTCTGAGGATGATACTTTTCTCCTCCTCCTCCTCCTCCTCCTCCTCCTCCTCCTCCTCCTCCTCCCCCCTTGTATTTCCCTCAACACCAAGAAGAAGACAGCCCAGATTTTCAATAACAATAGAAACCCAAACTTATTGGATCTTAATCAATGCATTCTATGTAACTCAATATATTTACCCACACACAAACACAAAAGGCCTTTGATGTCTTACTTACTGTCCTGAAAACTACATATCAAAAATTCAAAGGAAGAAGAAGAAGAAGAAGAAGAAGAAGAAGAAGAAGAAGAAGAAGAAGAAGAAGAAGAAGAAGAAGAAGAAGAAGAAGAAGAAGAAGAAAGAAAGAAAGAAAGAAAGAAAGAAAGAAAGAAAGAAAGAAAGACAAAAAGGAGGAGGAGGAGGAAGAGGAAGAGGAAAAATGCTATTTCTGGTTGCAAAGACTCAAAATAGCAGCTTCCTTTCCAAAACAGATCCTGGTGTTTCCATCCCAAGTTTCTGAAACTTTGGAAAGAAAACAAGAGAAGCTGAGGATCACCTAGAAATGACGGTGAAAGGCAGAGAGAGAAGGAAGGAAGAAGAGGAAAAAAGGAGGAATGGAACCATGGAAATTTGAGGATCTCTCTTGGCTAAGAAGCATCCAGGTTCAGAGTCCTTCAACTGGCAGGCTGTTGTTTAAATCGTACGTGTCATTTGTGTCACCCTGCAGAAGTTTCTCCAGCGTCAGAGGTGCCATCTCCTTCCTGGTGTCTTCTAATACTTGGGGGAGTGGGTCAGCTCCTGAAATGGGGAGGGGGACAAACTGGGGGGCAGAGAGGGCCATTGGAGCCGGCTGGTATTGCAAGGAAGTTGCCGGTAAAGTTGGGATCGGCTGAGTCCAGGGGAAATAACTCAGGGGGGCTTGCTGGTCCATCGCATCCAGATGAGGCACCACAGCTGGGCTTGAGGCCGATCGAGCCTTGGGGGACAAAAAACAGCAGGTCAGTCTTTCTCCCCAGAAACTGCCTCTGATCCAAGAAGGTTCAAGTTCACTCTTCATCTATGGTGGACTCTCTCAGTGCAGCAGCTCAGGAGAAGGCCAACTGATGGATAACAAGGAGTCGCCAACCTTTTGGACCTCAGGGACCACCAAACTCATCATTTTAAAACCCACGGACCAGAGACCCTGGGAAAATCCCCCAAAAAGTCTGCAGGAAAATTCCCCACCCCGTTTTCCTACCGATCGATCATTCTTTATTTGGGATCACAGGATACCGCCTCCAGCTCTGTTCTCAGGGAGAGAGAGAAAGAGAGAGGAGAGACTTTGGGCTTCATGCAAGGAAAGCAGCAGGAGCCACAGAAGTCTTTCTTTCTCTGCCCCAAACTCCACCAGAAATGAGTCCTTGTGAGACTGGTCATGCCGGCACAGCCTCTTGGAGCAGGAGGCCTTGCAGGGTCCCAAAGACTCATTTCTGGCAGAGTTTGGGGGAGAGAAAGAAAGACTTTTGCTGCTTTCCTTGTGTGCAGCCAAAAGCAGAAGAAGAAAAAAGCAGAAAGAAGCAGCCTGGTGGCCAGGCAAGGCATGTGGGGTGAGTGGGGCAAGTTCCCTCCCTCTGCCCTTTCCTTCCTCCCCTCACTACCTCGTGTTGTTCGCAATGCAAGCGACACAAGCCTTGTGTTCCTGAGGGCCATGTGGGTGGCGCAGCCTTGGATTAATTGCTTTGGGGGTGACATTTCTCTGCAGACCACCAAGATTTTCTCATGGACCACCAGCGGTCTCCGGCACACTGGTTGGCGACCACTGTTATAAGGTGGCCCTCGACTTACAACTATTTGTTTAGCAACTCTGTGAAGTCCTTGCACTTACAACCTTTGCAGCATCTTCCACGGTCACATGACCAAAACCAGCCACTCAGCAACCAGTGTGTCCTTAAAATGGCAGCCTTCCCGGGTCATGTGATCAGCTTTGTGACTTTCCCAGCTAGCTTCCGACAAGCGAAGTCAATGGGGCGAGAAGCCAAATTCGCTTAAAGACTGTAGGATTCACTTAATCACAGGGGCGAATCGATTAATAACGGCGGCCAAAAAAAGCTCGTAAAATCGGCAAGTCTCCCTTAAGAACCGCCTTGCTTAGCGATGGAAATTCTGGCCCCAATTGTCGTTGTAAGTCAAGGACTACCTGCAGTAGGCTGTCACCCACAAATGTAGGCTTTTTCCCCCCTTAGGAACAAACCCTGATCCAACCAGGGTCTTTGCTATCCATGCACCAATGTCCGTGAGGATTTGAATACAAAGTAGGACCTGCAATGTTCAGGAAGGGTGGAAAGATAGGAGTGTGTTTATTTATTTGTTTATTAAATTTTATATGCTGTCCATCTTGCTTTCAGTGAGTCTTACCCAGAGGTGGAATTCAGCCGGTTCTGACCGATTCTAGAGAACCGGTAGTGGAAATTATGAGTAGTTCGGAGAAGCAGCAAATACCACCTCTGACTGGCCCCGCCCCCATCTATTCTCCTCCTCCCAAGTCCCAGCTGATTGGCTGGGTCTCTTTTGTTGCCCTACACAGGAGAATGGAGCTGGAAAGCAGGTTAGTGGGGTGGGGAGGGAAGGGGGACTTTGCAGTATATCCACACCCACTAAGCCACGGCCACAGAACTGGTAGTAAACAATTTTGAATCCCACCACTGGTCTTACCATATTAGATTTCAGGCAGCGGGTTCAAGAAAACATTCTTCAAACCATACAGAGGCAAAATTTGCTAAATGAATGAAGAACCCATCCAGGGGTGGGGGCCATGGGCTGGAGCCCCAGAAAACACAGATGCTAAGCTCCCTTTTATTTGGGGTGTGTGATTTCTTTTAACTTTGAACACCCCGAAATCTATCACAGGAAAGGGCAACCAATTGCACATTGAGATCCAGCTACAAAATACAGCGTAACTGTCGCAGTGATTCACGAGGAGAAAACTTGAAATATATCACCTGGGTTCTCCATGCACGTATTCAAATATGTGATACTCAATATTCTGAGTCCCGAGACAGAACAATGCAATTTATGGCAGTCTTTAATTACAATTAATGCCCAAGCTGGGAATTTGGAACCGTGAAATTCTTTGTTCAGGCCCACCCAAGGCAGAAACTTGACAATGGTGTGACTTCTCTTTCCCATTCTTTCAGGTATACATTTTTTTCCTGTGCTGCAAACAATAATCATGAAATGATGCTTTGCTTTCTCACCTGAACACCCTTCCTTCGGTCACCCATCTGGGGGGGGGGGAGCGCTACAGTCTGAAGCTAAGAAAATTTGCATCCAAAAACATCCCACTCATCGGGGTCCTCTGAGAATTTTGATGTCAAATATTTACCAGCTGCTCAAATCTTTGCAGAATGCTCCTTGCATATTTCCTAGGGGTGTTTCACACCCCGGAATAATGAAGTCCCCTTGCTGGTATTTGGCCTAATTGCAATACTGACTAAGGCAGAGAGGCGAAATGACCATGTGCAAATTGTCTTGAGGAAACCCTGTGAACAGTTGAATTGCAAATAACACAATAACGGAGTAACAGAGTTGGAAGGGACCCTGGAGGTCTTTTAGTCCAGCCCCCCAGCTCAAGCAGGAGACCCTATTTTGGGCAAATGGCTGTCCAATCTCTTCTTGAAAACCTCCAGTGATGGAAAGCCCATAACTTCTGAAGGCAAGTTGTTCCACTGGTGACTTGTTCTCCCTATTAGGAAACTTCTTCTTAGTTCTAGGCTGATGTTGAACACGTCCTCTTAAGCAATGCATACATGTCAGCAGTTCAATCCTGACCAACTCAAGGTTGACTCAGCCTTCCATCCTTCCGAGGTGGGTAAAATGAGGACCCAGATTGTTGGGGGCAAGAGGCTGACTCTGTAAACCGCTGAGAGAAGGCTGTGAAGCATTGTGAAGCGATATATAAGTCTGCTACTGCTATTGCTGTCGCTAACTCTGCCAACTGCCAGAAGTTTGATCCTGACTGGCTCAAGGTTGACTCAGCCTTCCATCTTTCTGAGGTGGGTAAAATGAGGAGCCAGCTTGTTGGGGGCAAGAGGCTGACTCTGTAAACTGCTTAAAGAAGGATGTGGAGCTCTGTAAAGTGGTATGTAAGCCTAAGTGCTATTACTAAGTAGGAAGGAAGGGAGGGAGGGAGGTTTGTGGTGATGCGGTGGTTAGAATGCAGCATTGCAGGCTAACTCTGCCACTGCCAGGAGTTCGATCCTGACCAGGTCAAGGTTGACTTAACCTTCCCTCCTTCTGAGGTCGGTAAAATAAGGACCCAGATTATTGGGGGCAACAGGCTGACTCTGTAAATCACTTAGAGAGGGCTGTAAAGCACTATGAAGCAGTATATAAGTCTAAGTGCTGTTGCTATTGCTATGGAAGACCTTCTGTGGTTGGGTTACCACATCCATGGTACTCCAAGAGAAGGGAAATATCTAACAACCTTTGGAAGATTTCCACTCTGCCTCCCACCCTACAGTCGAGACAAAAAGCCAACAATCACATGGTTGGGCCCCATCTCAAACTCACCGCGAAGTTTGTGATCAATGGCTGGGAGGTGTAGGTCAGCACCGAGGATGTCCCCACCAGTGTGTAACTGGGGCAGACCGGCTGAACAAACATGTCAGCCGTGTAAGGACAGCTGACCGCTTCGTGAGACACGTAATCCGGGGAGGTGGTCCACTGGGTCAGGGGTTGCAAAGTGCCCGGGGGAGGTTGAGTCAACCACCCCGAATAAAGAGCTCCTTCCTCCATCAGGGGCAGTGAAGAGGTGACCAAATCTGTCTCAGAGTAAACTTGTCCTTCACGGAAAGAGAGAAAGGGAAGAAGGTGAAGCTGGACCGAAGATGGAGAACGAGGAAAAGTGTGCTTTTGGGGAGGAGGAAAAGCCCCCCACCCACCCAAAAAAATTCTGAAATTCTTACCAGTGGGTGAGTAAGATGGAAGCGACTGATGGGGGAAAAACACCTATAGGAAAATTAGAGGTTGATATTATTTAAGAGCGATAAACCACAAGAAGAAGAATTACTCAAAGGCCGACTAGGAAACTATCGGTAATGCTCAAACAACAACTCCGTGTTGAGACTGAAGAGCCAGAAGGAAAGAAATGCGTCTGAGGAGGGTGGAAAACTCTCAAATGTTCACACCCTGGCCCACAATCAGTTTTCATCACTGTTACTGATGTGGCTACATCTGGTTCTAATGTCAGAGGCATTTAAGGCCAGAGGGTGTAGCTCATCGTTCTAAAAGCAGTGCTTTTTTTCAAAATTGGTCATTTGAAGCTGTGTGGACTTCAATTCCCAGAGTTCCCCAGACAACTGGCTGGGGGATTCTGGAAGTTGAAGTCCATAGATCTTAAACTATGGCTGTTCTGGGAGTTGAAGTCCACCCATCTTGAAGCGTGGTGGTTGGGGGATTCTGGGAGTTGAAGTCCAC